AGTACTTTAAAGTGTATAAATAAGTTCCCGGTCAATTGATTTACATCAGCCAATCAGACGAATGTCCTCCTATGAATAGTAGACCCTCCTCCGTACAGCAGACCCTCCCGGGTCTAAATCGGTTTTTGTGTTGGTTTAAAGTAACAGACCCCGGGTGGTTTATGCGGCAATTTACGGTATACCACACGGTTTTACTAAACACCAGTGTTTCACCAGGTAAAAATATTTAGCACCTTCAAAATCTTATACAGTACTATATATACGTATAATATAAATTTTAACCTCTAGTACGTACTAATCTTTATCTTTTTTATATACTTTATATATAATATACGTATTTATTCAATTTAGATTTTATTAGTAAAATTATTATATCAAAAAAAATATATAGTATACAATATGTAGTATTAAATCCTAGTGATATGATTTAGCACTATTAATAAGTATATATATATTATATATACACTCTATATACCGTACGTACTGTACCTATACTATATAATTTTAAACAAATTTGCCTAAAATACATAATATATATATATATATATATAGTATATATATAATACCAGATACAAACTAAATAAATTATATTTTTTAAATAATCTAATTTTGCATACTGTCCTATCAACTTTCTATCTATATATATATATACTTAGTAATTCGGTCTTATGTATGCTTGAGTAAAAAAGTCCTTTTGTAAGAAGTCTGTTGCGGATATTCAAGGCGATTTTATATTGATTTGTATAGCAGATAGTGTATAAATTTTTTTTCGAATTTTTGACTCTAAACTGATAAAATTAACCAATCAGAATATCGATATCGATCTCATCCTAGATCTTGAAATTAGCCAATTACGGTTTAAAAAAAAAAAAAAACCTTTAGTGTTTAGTGTGTAGTTTTTTTTTATTGCGACCAAAAAAATTTTTTTTTTCGCAGGGTAAGAAAGTTAATAAATAGAAAAAATGGGTCGTATGCATGCTCCCGGTAAAGGTATCGCAAGCTCAGCCTTGCCATACCGCCGTACACCGCCTTCATGGTTAAAGACTACACCCGAAGACGTTTGTGAACAAATTTACAAGTTTGCGAAAAAGGGTATGACGCCCTCACAAATTGGTGTACATCTTAGAGATTCACATGGTATTGCACAAGTGAAAAATGTTACTGGAAATAAGATTCTACGTATTCTGAAGTCAAATGGTATGTAGCATTTTAATGATTAATTTATATTTGATTAAACCATGACTATCGAATGATTACTTCGTTCAAGGTCTAGCACCCGAGATTCCCGAAGATCTCTATCATTTAATCAAAAAAGCCGTTGCTGTTCGCAAGCATTTGGAACGTAATCGTAAGGACAAAGACTCTAAATTCAGATTGATTTTGATTGAATCAAGAGTTCACCGTCTTGCTAGGTACTACAAAACAGCTGGACAGCTTGCCCCAAACTGGAAATAGTATCCTTTATTTTTTTTTTGTGCAGGGTTACATTTGAGATGGTTTATTAACAAGAGCAAGTTTAAATCGATTAATATCAACTTCTGTTCAGAAATTGCTTGCCTTAACTCTTTTTCTTTTTACAGCGAATCTTCTACTGCAAGCGCTATGGTCGCATAATTATGTTAATATATTTTCTGCTGATGTATGTGTAATTTATAATTGATTGAGATGAGATTTCTTAAAATTTGCGAATAAAATCTCAAAGAAACCAAACTACAATCCATTAAATAGTGTTCTCTGGAAATTTGATAATAATGTTTAAGCAAATATTTATTGTTTGTCTTGTGAGAAGAGATATGATGACTACTTATTCAATTCTGAACTTTTTAATAGTTCATGATGTGCATTCACACTGTCTGATCTCTTCCATCATAACAATAAAAACGCTTAAGCTTTATCAATTTTATTATAAATGATATTAGTTTTTGAAAGATTTATCGGATCAAGAATAAATGTAAACATTAATAACAGTTATAATAAAAAATGTGTTATTGAAACATAGCATTTAGCACGGTATGGACTGCAATATTATTTCGAAATTGAACCTGGTTTTCGCATCAAAATTGTCACGGCAGATTCTTAACTGTGATTGGCTAAGAGCAATTTTGGAATCTACGTACGTATATGTAACACCCTAGTGCTACGGCGCCAAATGATTTACAGGTGCCTAGTACGTATGTACAGTACGTACATTTATCCCTTTCAAACCTTTTGATTTGAACATTAACTTCGAGTGCCCTTGGATTCACACCTCAAGATGTCAGAATTGCAAAAGTATGTTGATCGTATCCTTTTATTCATTCTTATAGTCTATACAGCCTAAAGTAGTTTATTGTCGTTCTATAAACATTTTGAACGTATCCTTTAACTTTTCAACGAATGCGTTTCGTTATTACAGTAACTGTTGAAATTATCACAGCTGATGGACGTGTTATAGTGGTATTGTTATAATGCGCTTTATTGCTCATGCTTAAGAAGTCACAATATTTGTTCATTATTATCTAACGAAACCAAAACAGGGAACATTCAAAGGTTTTGATCAAACAACAAATGTGATTCTTTCCAGCTGTCATGAACGTGTATTTTCCGAAACGGAAGGTGTAGAAACACTACCACTTGGTTTATATATAATACGTGGTGATAATATGTGAGTCTATTTTTAATAATTGATAATTTATTTAATTTTCATGCTTTTATTGACTAATCATAATTGTAAATTCTATCATGGTCGATATTTAATTATTAATGTTGTCACGCGTCACTATTATAAGAGTTTTAATTGGTGAAATCGATCTAGAACGTGACGCGTCTGTGGATCTCTCTGAAATCAGGGCTGCTCCCATCACTGACATTAGTAGACGTTGATTTGACAATATATAATACCTTTCTAAGTACATACACTTAGATAGTGATCCTGGTCAATAATGAAGAAGTTGACTAAAGCTAATTTTCAGCTTAGCAGGTCGATTTTTTTTCTGAATCGGTTGATCGATTTCTTATAATGATAATAACTCTAGCATAAGCTTTTGATCATCACAGAAAGTTGTTTTTTTGTATAATATTTGAGCCATACTTTCCTGAGTAACATCAAATTATACTTTATATCATTAGAGATATAGTGCGTAAATGATTTACACAATTAATGGGTTCAAATTAATGAGAAATGTTACAATATTTTAATTAGCACAATAAAACTTAAACTTTAATATTGTGTTATTGGCGAACTTTGAGATTTCCACTGAACCTCTAGATTTTCTCAGTATTTTAATAAAATGAGTTTTTTTATTTGTACTGTTATACTTCTAAGATCCTAGGTCTCGTTGATATTCAAATCTCTAATAAACACGTACTAAACAAAATTGCTAGTATTATTGCCCAATTTCCGATTGGCGATCTGCTGAATTTGTTTGCGCGACTAATATATCCGTAGGTCGATCCCGTAAAGCGTATATTCTTATCGTTATCTGTTATATGAAAATTTGTCATTGTCCACCTACATTAACTCTGTATAAACAATTACAGTATTTTTAGTTAAAAAAATCCATGCTTATATTTTAAAGTTAATTCACAAAGTATTAACCATTGGCATTTAAAAAACAGATCTTAATTAAAAATAATGTATATTTTAATTTCGTAAATTTATTATTTAAAATACAACAATGTAAAAAATTAAATAGATATACAATAAATTAAAAATTTATTATAATAGTTATAAAACATGTTTTAATGATATCTTTTTCAGGCGAATTTGTCTGGAATTTTAAAAAGTATTATAATTTTAAATATAATTAAAAAAATATTAATAGTATGGGTATATTTTATAAAGTTTACTAAAAAATATACCTATGGTGCTGAACACTATAGATGCTATTTCTCAGAAATGGACTAAGTAATTAGGATCGGGATTCTAAATAAAAATGTTCAGAACTTCGAAAACCTTAGATCTAACTAAATTTGGACCCATATGAAAATTTATTATGTATATAAGCTTCTATTTTATATTAAAAATGCTTTCTAATCCTAAATTTATTAAAAACAATTATATATAGTGTTAAACACTATATATATATATATTTTTTTTTTTTTATTGGTAACCCGTACTGAAGATTGGCTAAGCTTTGTCAGGCTCAAGGCAGGGAATAAAATTCAAAGTCAAAATTTGGTGCGCAACATGCACCAAATTTTAGATTCAATGTGTGCAAAGTTCGATACAGTAGAACAAGTCTAACTGTATAGCGCACATTATTTTAAATAATTATTAAAAAAATTGCATGTGCTTTGTGCACAGCATTATATTTTTTTTGTACGCAAAAAAATTTTCTGTGTGCGGAGTGCACATGCGCACATTGAATTTTATTCGGATGTTCTATAGAATAGGTGGGCAATATATAAAATAAACTCCACTAATAATTAGTAATCATTAATAAATATTTAGCAGAGTTGCAGAGTTTGTGGAGTTTGCTCACCTATTTTATAGAACATTCTTTTATTTACTGGCTCAAGGTCGCTCTACAACCAAGCCATCTAATAATTTACATTAGACAATAGGCTGGCTTTTTTCATGAAATGCCCAACCCAGTTACCTTACTGATGTTGGCCACAATACTCCATATATGGTGTGGCATATTTAAAGATATAATATAACTCTAGGTCTCAACTGCCCCATTGCTAAGGTACATGTTTTATCCATGTATTTACCCAGACTTCAGTAACTTTATGCCATAGCTTGATCTATATACTTGGGGTCAGGGCTAATCATTAAACCCCTGCAACTAACTAGCAGTGTTGTTATAAGACAGGGATATGGTTAACAAACAGTCTGGAACAGGACATCCTAGACATGTTCACCAAAATATAAATGTCCCGAACAATTAAAAATTATAATAAAAGCATCTTTTTTAGCTAATTAGATCACTTTAAAACCTTTGTGATATAGAACACTATCATGGACATGAGATATTGTTTGGGATATGAGACATTGTCTAGAACTGTTTATGTTTCTGAAATTTTAACATAACAATATCCATATACAACACTGCTAATTAGTATCTGTTGTGCTGCTGTTACCAAGTTCATATCTCAAGCCACCCTTTAAAATAATATCATAACCCGATCTGTATCTCAAACTACAACCTTTCTAATTAGCTGCCTATTACTTACTTTTGCCCTTATTAGGTTTATAACAACCCTAGTACTCATATTTGAATCATCTTCTTACTCAGATTTTCTTTCTTATTTTCAGCTAGCAACCTGAAAGGGTTAGTCTGCCTAGGCTTTAGATACCTGAAGGATACCCTCTTCTTGGTACATACTTTCGGAGCATATGTTCTTTTCCTCCGGTGCGACAAAACCCAGTGGTTCAGCTAGTGTGTTCTTCACTATTAGAACCTGATCATTCGGTTCTCTGATTTTGAGCTCTGGTTTAAATTCAGCCTCTGTAATACTATCAAAGATCACTATTACTTTCTAACTTGTAACTTCTCAAATGAGTTTTCAGTTATACTAGTTTTTTAAATTTATTGTACTATTGCTCTTATTACTAGATAGTGTGACTAAAGTTACAAATTAGATTTAACTGATATATAGCTATCAACCAAATACAAGCCTATTTTTCAAATATCGTTATCTATACAATTTAAACTCTAGACTGACTAGACCACTACACTAAGTTGTTACACCTCTTTAAACACTATATGGGAACCCCATAGCAAAAAGGTACAATGAAGAAAAAAAATTAATTTTATAATTTTATAAAAATTAAGTACTTATTACTCTAATTCTTCAAAAAACTAAGTTTAAAAAAATTATTTTTTTGCTTTATTGCACTCTTTTGCTATAGGGGCTCCTATATATGCACTTTATAATAATTAATATTTTTATATATAATATTTTATTTAAACTGTTTCTTTTTATGATTTTTGCTAACCAGATATTTATTAAAAAGTTGTATTTTTATTATAGTTACAATATAATAAAAATACAACTAGCTATATGTATAACTTTTAGTTATTTGATTTAAATAGTTTATTTATTTATTTATTTATTTTTTATTTTATTTTTTTTACTATACAAATTGTCAGTACAGTAAAATCTCTTTTATATTTTCTCTTTTTTTTTTATATTTTTTAATTTTTAAAAAGATATAACCAAGATGGAATATAACTAAATATTTAATAGACTTGTTAAAATGCTCATTGAAGTCAGTCCTTAAGTCGACTTAGCATGAACTTTTTAAGATCAACTCAAGTTGACTTTTGAGCTAAGTTTTAATCATCACATAATTAATTAAAATATGCAAGAGTGCAGAAAATAAGAGCGATGCAGAATGTTAATACAAGAGAAGACATTATATTAATAGTTTTTTTATAGATGCTATTGCATAATAATAGTTTTTGTGGCCATTATCACATGATAATAGTTTTAATAAGTACTATTTATTTCCCGCTACCATGAGGAATAATGAAATATTTCTCTAATTTATTGTATAGGTGCAAAGCACTCATGCAATAGATTGGTGGGAAATATTGAAATTATTCCCCTGATGCAAGGAATAAATGAGTTATTTTTTGTTTTATATGTTCATTACTATATTATTTTTAATTTTATCAATCACTGCTTTTATCACATAATTATTTGTTTTCGAATTAATAAAATAAACTTTTTATTATGTAAGAGATAAATACTATAAATACGATTTTTTTCAAAATTTGCGAATTTTTTTGATTTCTTTCCTTAATTCGATTTATTTCTGAAAATGGAAAATGAGAAGTTTCAAATATTTTAATAAACAAACAAAAAGAAAAAGAGAATTAATTATCTAAACTTATAGAATATTGGTATACACTTTGTTATGGCTAAAAAAATGTTCAAATTCAAATATAATCAATCTGGTTCTGTCGAGTCTGATATAAAACTTGATTATATATTCGAAAGTCCTAGTGATACAATAATATAAATGAGGCTTTTCAAAAAAGTATAGATGAGATTTTTCAAGAAAGTGCAGATGAGGCTTCACAAAAAAGTATAGATGAGGCTTATAGTAAAAATATGAATAAAGTATATATATTAGATTCGAATATTTTTTTTTATATCTTAATTATTTTTTTATATCATTTATTATTTATTTATTACAAACTAGATTCACAGTACTATCACAAAATAATATTAATTATATTATTGATTACTTAGAAGTTGTTAATACTAAAAACAATACCAAGACTTGGATTAACACTATGAATAAATATTTAAATAACACAAACTTTTCAGGTGATATTACAAAAATTAAGGATCAAACTGAATTAAAATCAGTTCTCATTGGCTTTTTTGTTGTACTAAAAAAGAAGGATGGTCAACTTTATGCACCTACATCTATACATAATTGTTATTGTACACTTGCCTATTATCTTCAAAAAAATTCATGTCAAAATTCAAAACACAACATATATAATAAGAATACTTTTTCTAGATTATATGCAACTATAGATAAAAAAATAAAACTTGTTTAAGATAAACATTTATGCCAAACCAAAAAGTCTGATGCACTAAGTTATAATAATATTATTAAAATCTTAAATTATAAAAAATTACTTGAGGATACACCAACTGCAATTACATATCAGGTATATTTCTGGTTATGTCTTTTATGTAGTTTGCATGGAGATGATACATGCCGATTAGAATATAATCATGTAAAATCAACTCATGGAAAAACAATTCAATTAACTATATCTCGAAAAAAAAAATCATGCTAAAGGTTTAAAAAACTTAACTAATACTAGTAAAAATTGTGAAATTCTACCTGATATAAATAGTAAATTTACACCTGTAGCTGATATTTTATATTACATATATCGTCGTAAACAAAATTTTAAATCAAAGAATTTTTTTTTAAAAATTGTGCTTAATAAAAGTAATATATATATTTTGTAAGATCTTATCTTATATTAAGTTTTAACAAGTTTTTTGTTAGTAATTTTTACTTTTTTTTAGATTTTAAATATGGAATTTGGTTTCATGATGTGCTATTAAGACATCATTTATATAAAAAAATGATTCACAATATATATGTTGCTACAGGAATTAATACCAACTTAAAAAAAATTACAAATTATTCCTTAAAGCAAACATCAATCCAAATTTACTGACCACATCATGGCTTTTAGTGGGTATTTATTTCCTGGTGATATTGCATCATATTAAACTTTTACTTATGAAATTATGCATAATACAGTCTCTATAATAATTCTATTGGCAGAACAAGATCAAAATAAAAATATTACTACTACTGATTCAAGTAAATTCTGATTTATATATCTTATTTGTTTATTCATAATTTATAAAATTCTCACAAGTTTATTTATTTAGCATTAGATATTAAATCCTCAACTAACCAAATTGTTTTATGTTATCCTTTGGTACCACTTTCAACAAATCAAGTATTAGGTCCAATTAGACGGGAAAGTATTCCAACAAGAAGAAAATTTACACTATTTGATACATCTAAGCTATTTTGTATTCTATTCAAATCACCTACTACTATTAATGATAATGATTCTTCTGGTGTTCAAATTATTGATAAGGATTAAAAAATTTGGAGACTAATTCAACCTTTGAAATATCTCAAATTTTATTAAAGAATTGTAAGAATTGTAATATAGATATTAAATTTACATTTCAAAAATAATATCAATATTGCTGTAGTAATTTTAAAATTATGTATCTAATAATATAAATAAAGATAATTAGATGCTTAATTTGCTATTAAACTTTAATAGTTAAAAAAATTAACTTTGCTTTACTGCTAAAAATTCTATAATATAAAATTTAATACTATTTTATTCAAAGAAATCTTATATGATTAAAAACCTATATAATAATAATAAAAAGCTATTTTCTAACTAAAGACAATTTTATATATGCAAATTTAACTACTGTATACTATTTCTTGTTTAAAGATTGTAATATCTATAAGTGCATACTCTTGAAGTCAAAATTTAATAATATGTACTTAAAAGAGTCATGTATATATTTGAAGAGTTTGGTGTGTGTTTAGAAAATATATGCATGTATAGAAGATTTTGTTCTAATATATTTCTAGTTCAAGACAATTTTGTATAGTGCCGAAGTTTATACTATTTCTGGTTCAAACCAATTTCAAGTAATACAAGATCTAACTATATTTCTTATACAGATAAAAATTATATCTTATCTGCAAACTGAATATGAGGAGATATAATAGTATTATTTTTAGAAATATTACTATTTAAAATAATTAGTAATCAAAATGTTATTAAAATTTTAGTAATAAAAGTAGTGATTACTAACACTGAAAATACTATAGTGTGAACATAGTAAAATATTGAATAACGGTTTTTATTTAACAGTTTTTAGAGTAATAACAGTTTTTTTTTTTTTTTTTTTTTTTTTTTTTTTAAATAAATTCAGCAGTTATGCTATAACTTTATTAGGCTTTGTACAACTCATCTAAAATATATAAAATTTTGCAACTAGAACTTACGAATAGGATTTATAACAGGTGAGTGATAAACTCTAAACAAGTTGACAAATAGCATATAAGAACTATCTCTAAATGACAAGTGCCTTATCTAATATTCTATTTAGCACTACCTAAATTACAAGTTACAACTAACCTGGTTATCAACTTGGTACCTATGTTCAACCTGCTATAGCAAGATTTCTCTCCTTCCAGACTCCTTCTGCAATTGGATATGA